GGGACCGGAGCTCGGCTTGCACCTCATCAGCTGATTAATTAGCGCGCCGATGCTTGAGCGCCTTGACGTCCTACATGCGATCAGATGAGAGGCCGCATAATGAGAGTACAGTGGGTCGATGGTGCTGGTTAATTAGTGCGACCTGATCCGGGGGCCATGTTGTTTACGCCGCGGCGTCTAATGAGCTCGACCGAGAGGCTGCGTGGCATTCGTCTGACGTGAAAAATCATTGTCATGTTCCAATAATCTATCTGCAGGGGCTAATAATGCGCTCAATGGTAACGATAAGTAATGAACTCAGCACACTTTGTCCTATTTAGAGTCTTGACTCATGAATAAAATGAACCGAAGCACGCCTGCTAGTCCCTTGGCTGATAGGGAAACCAAGTTGCTTTATTTAATAAGGTCATGTACATTTGATGTGTGAAGTATGGCTGTGTCCCATCACATCCAACAGATGGCGCTGTGTTGAAAAAGGACTGCCACAGACAGTACGATATTGTATTATTTTGCTCGTGATTCAATTCTCCCTGTACTCACTCGAGACACTTATAGTGGGCGTGGCAGGTAGTTGTCCATTTTTTTATTGGTCCTGGTGGTCACAGCCCATTGGATTCTGCCTAGCAACACATGGCAAAGGCTGCACTGTGTGGTGTGTACTCGATCAGTGCTACATTTCCGATTTACTCTCAGCGGTGAGATTTGACTACATACCAGGGGCTGGGTGACCATCGGGAATTTGGGGAAATTATGTTAATTTACCCAAATGACCACTGTATTTCCATGACGGTCCTGGGAATCACCATTTTTTATTTAAATTATGATTTTATTTATTTTTTTACTCTAACTAGGTTTCCTTTTTAACCCGTTTTTTAACTGTCGTGTTTAGGTTTAAATGTAGTTTTTTTTTTAATTAAAACTCACATTTATGATCATTATCATTAGATTTTTCTTGTTTAGTGGTGCACATGAGGTCGTTTGTACGGTTCGGGCCAGACTTTGCTTGTTTTTTTTGCACAGAACGATCAAGCGATTCTTGTTTTGCTTGTCTTCTAACTATTTATGTGGAAGCTTTTCCCCAAATATTTAAGGTCCTTGCGCCCTCTTTAATCTCCCCGCATAGGAGGTACACCAGCTTTCCACTGCATACACCCCCTCAAAATAAACACCACCACCAAGTCATCAAACACGGTCAAGTGGCATTCAAATTTTGAAGATTCTACCAGACTGCTCTGACACTCCGACTCTCGCGCACCCTATGGAAGGCACCCAACCAAACTCTGGTGCACACCGAGCTTCGTTTGCTTCGTCCAAACAACAAACCCTCGTTCGATTACGTTGTTTGTTTGGCGTGCACAAAATATGCAATCCTTGTCCTTGCATTATCTGAAAATTCTACATCAATCTTTAAAAACAAAATATCCTTCCCAAACTTTTGGAATCCCTGCACTCCCTTCAGAATCTTGACCCAATCGGTGCACCCCTTTTCTCCTGCACACACACACACACACACACACACACACACACACACACACACACACACACACACACACACACACACACACACACACTCGCAAACTTCACAGCAATGTCTGTTTACAGTAAATGAGTTGAATCGTGCCAAAAATAAATTTTAAAAAATTGTGGAGTTCATATTTTGAGCATTCAAACAGCCCACTATTACATTAATTCTTGCCCGCCCCCGTGAAGGACACTCACGTGCCACCGAGCGATACAAACACCACAGTCCCTATTCCACCGGTCAGTCTTTTTGCATGACTCCGATTGTGCCTCCAGCAGGCCAACAGTTGATTCGTCTGTGGAGCGCGACGTTGATGCCAGGGCGTCCCGGAGATAATTGCTGTCCTTGGAGTTGAATAAGCTCATTCTAAAGCACCTCAGGCCGTGGCAGTCCTAGTGTGTGACTGCGTATTGAATAATTGATTCAGGGAGGGGGGGGGGTAGGGGTGCGTATACTATCAGAGCTGAGCATAATGACTTCATATAATTAGACTGAGAGAGAGAGAGAGAGAGAGAGAGAGAGAGAGAGAGAGAGAAGGGGAGAGAGAGTTAAAGTTCTAGAGGGGGTGGAGGATGGATGCATTTGCACAGAGCGACAGCCTCCGCGGATGAAGCAGGAATGCTTGAGCACTGACATCAGCTCAGATAAGACGGAGGAGGTGGAGGAGGGGAGCTGGAGGGCTGCCGGTGGTCTCTCCTGAAAAAACAAAAAAACAAACAGCAGTGCACGCGTGCCGCTTTGCCTCCGATTGAAGCTACTTTCACGCGTGACAAACTTTTTTTTTTTTTCTGGCGGGGTGAGGATTGATTGGTTCCCGGGAGAGCCCAGAGTGGAGACGGTGTAGTGCTTGGAGGGAAGGATGTTGCTGGACAAGGAGGACAGTGAGTGATGATCTCTTTATGCTCATTTGGTCAAGGCGAGCGTGGTCGGCACCGCATGCGAGTTGACGGTGTTCATTCCTGAATGAATTGCAGCCTTCGATGTCTTTATGGGAGTTCTGTCTGTCATATTAAACTGTGATGTGTGAATGAGAAGGATCCGTCTTCGACTATAATGACACCAGAAATGCTTGACACTAATCCATGAACACAACTGAAACAGAGCTACTAAAAATAGAGCACTTTGGATTATTGTTAGACCACCCGCAGCCTTTCGGCACCTGAAATTAACCCTTTCATGGTGATAACATGGCAAGATGTCCACTGGAGTAACCGCTGTCCCTGAAAGGATGAATCGAGCGTAACATTGAGCACTAAAATTATTTTAACTCAGGAACTATCATCAATCAAATTTCTAAAGTCGAATTGCCTATAATGGAAATTTAGTTCCACAAAAGTGGAAACTCCAGTCAAGTCAAAACAGTGTCAATTTGTCATCATAATTTTTTTGTGATGTTGTACCAGGGATTACAAAACAAGACGGATGATCGCTTAAGCAGAAACGAAACGGAACGAAACTTGGGAAAGCCTGTCCTGGCTACTCAGTACGGCTAAGCTTTAGAAACGTTGCAGTACCACAGGAAACCGCTGAAGGGCCGTGAAACGGGCGGGCAGCTAGCTAGCTAGCTAAAATCGTAGAGGAAACCGAGGCTACGTTGTGTTATTTGGATTTGGTCACGTGTTTGTCAAGTATGAAGATAAACAACGGACGCAATGCCGGAAAATATAACGTACTCTCTGTCCTAGCTACTCAGTGCTATTTATTCTTTAGCAAACATCTGAAGTTAAAAATTTGTGGAATTTGGGAGGTACTCGCAAAATCGAAAAGCACAAAACTTTGGTGATGGAGTATTACAATTTAGTAACTAGCACAGCTGTCTGCTCATGTATTCTGGATGCTCGGTACAATATGGACGAGGACCGTTCGGTCTCAATCAACCAACGAAAAGCTATGTGTCGTATCCAAACTGTCCCGCAAAAACCTGCTCGTGGTACCAAAACTTTCCAAAAGTGAGCCCGACCCTTTCCCTGCCTCCTGTTCTCTAGGTGTGTCCCTGGTGTCCCTCCAGTCCAGAGAGAAGACTCGAGGCTGTGCCGGGTGCAACGGGAAGATCAGGGACCGCTTCATGCTCCAGGCGCTGGACCGTTACTGGCACGAGGACTGTCTCAAGTGCGCCTGCTGCGACTGCCGGCTGGGCCGGGTGGGCTCTACCCTCTACACCCGAGCCAACCTCATCCTCTGCCGTCGGGACTACCTTAGGTACCATTTCCAAACTTTGTCCTTGTTTGGAAGCATTAATTAATAGCCTTTGCTACGGCGGTCAAACTTGAGCTCAAGTGCATCCCGTTTCCACTGATCACCCTTCGGATGTTTCCTTATCTTAATTGGAGCCCACCCATTATGAATTCAGTTGATCAGACGCAAATTTAAAAGGCACACACCTATCTTTGTAAGGTTCCGCTGTTGACAATGTCTGTCAGAACACAAACCAAACTTGACGTCAAAGGAACATTTTGAGTCTGGACCAAGCCAACGGAAATGACGCTAAGTCAAAACTTAAGACTAGTACATTAGGGTGTTGAGACCAAATGAAGAGCAAGATTTTGATGAGTCGAGGCCAAGTCTTTGACATATTGAGACCACATCAAGACCAAGACTCTGAGGACTTGACACAAGGGCACTATTTTGATGAATGGTGCAGGTCGGCCATGACGCGTATTCT